TCTCTCTCTCTCTCTCTCACACACACACACACACACACACACATACACTGAAGCCAATGATATAGGCCAGTGTTTGGATAAAATCACAAAAACACAGGCAAAAAAGGAGAATAAAACTATTATTAGACAGAAATCTTTAATAAATAAATAAAATAAAAATAAAAATAAACTATTATTATATCAAAGTACAAACTTGTAAGCATCTACAGGGGAAGGGAACAATCAACAGAAGAGACAACACAGAGAATGTGACAAGTTAATATCTAGAGCATATAACAAATTTAAAAGTCAAATAGCAAAGAAAGCAGGTAACTGGTTTTTAAAATGGACAAATGATCTGGGACAAATAACTTAAATAAGTATTTCTCGAAGAAAACATACGAAAGGCCCAAACGAATATGAAACAATGCATAGCATCACTAACCATCAGGATAAAGCAAATCAGAAGTAGAATGCGCTGTCTGTCACCTCATCCAAGTAGAATGGCTATTATCAAAGAAACAGAAATAACAAATATCAATAGGAAAAGGAGAGAGGAACTCCAACATTTTTCAGTGAGAACATAAATTAACAGTCACTACAGAAAATAATGCAAAGTTCCCTCTAAAAACATAACTAGCACATAGCCTAGCAAACCTATTTATAATACAGTATATATCCAAAAGAAAGAAGTCATTATATTAAAGAAATAAATATATTCCAGTGTTTACTGTACCATCAGCAATAGAGACAAAGACATGAAATCAAGCAAGGTACTCATCAAGGAATAAAAGTAGGTTTTAAAAAAAAAAAAGTGGCACATAAAATAATGGAATATTATTGAGTCATGAAAAAGAAAGTTTGTCATTTGCACCATGGGTAGATATGGGAGGCATTCAGTTTAATAAAATAAACAAGCAAAAAAAAGACAAAATCAACATGTTTTCTTTCTTGCTCACTTGTGGAAGTTAAACAAGTCATCAACAAAAGAAAGTACAGACTAGAAAGGGTAAGAAGACTAAGACAGATAAGAAGGAAGAGAATTTGGAAAAGGACCATATATCACAAAGACAGGAAATAGGAACTGGTTGTAGTGCTTCATGGAGCCATAAGGAACCTGCAGCTTAGAACTGAAACATGCAGAACAATAGCGGGGAAGGCAGGGCTCTGACAAGTTTAAGGTCTTCAGAGACCAGCATGCTGCTCACCCTGATTTCATCCTCACAAAGTGCAAACATGCATAAAATTCTGTAACATAAACACATATAAGCATTATGCCCATTTCTGACATTTTGATTTTTCTTTTTAATGATCAAAGATGGAGACTTTAGAAGTCAATAACCATAGTCTAAGGATCAACAAAGGATTATAAGCAGATTTCTCATTCAAACCTTTGAAGCCACAAGTTGTGGATTCACAGGTTCACAGCACTGAAAGAAAAAGGGCGTGAACCATGAATCCCAAATCTGACTAGCTACATTTCAAAACTGAGGGCTAGATTAAGGTAGAATGGAAAACATACCCAGGTGATCACCACCAAAACTACCCTACAATAAAGACTAAAGAGAATCATCCTGCAAAAAACAAAGGATGCCAGGCAACACATAAAAGACACGCCCAACAATAAAGCTCTGATTATAAGGTAAATGAACAATTATAAAAGCTATTTCTATTCTATATTTGTATCTAGTTGTTTATAGAACTAAGGTATAAAATAGGCTACTCTATATTTGTATGCTTTTTACATCTAATCAAGTATGTGCTTGCTTGTGCACATGCCATGACATGTGCAGAGGTCAAATACAACTCTCAGTCATCAGTTCTTTCCTTGCAACATGTGTATCTGAGACTGAAGCTGGGACATCAGGCTGTCAGTCTTGGTGACACCTACTGTATTTGCTAAACTATCATTGGCTATTATGAAATTTTGTGACATTAATAACTAAAAGGGAATGGTGACAGGGGTACATAACAATAAAACTTACTAATATGGTCCCATGAAGACAGCACAAATTCAATTAAGTTATAATCTTAATGTATTAAATTTAACCTCCATGATAAACACAACCTCAAAGAAAATAGCAAAAACTACATATATAGCTTACAAAATGAGACGAAAATCACTTAACTATCAAGCAAACAAAAGCTAAAGGAATAAATGAGGAATAAATATTAACAAACACATAAAAATTAATTTAAAAAAAGCTAATGTAAATATAAAAAATAATGTATACGCAATAGCATGGACATGTTATGACATATATATTGAGGTCAGAGGACTAATTCCAGGAGTTGGCTCTCTACTTCCCCCATGTGGTCCACGTAATCAAACTCAAGTCATCAGGCTTGGCACAAGTGGCTTTATTTGGTAGCGTTATGTAACAATCTTAAGATGACAAAATTATACTGATGGGTAGTAAATTAGTGGCTGCTAGGGGTAAAGGCGGGAGGGAGTGGGTGACATCACAAAAAGTCAACATGAAAGAGGTATTTGAAAATAACGGTGTTCTTGAAGCTCAGCTCTAACAGTGGCATCCTAACTGAGATATTGCTAGAAAACCCACTGGAAGCACCACACACATGCACACGCATATACACACACACACACATGATAAGCTATTAGCCTGATCTCACCACCTCAGAATGCATACAAAAATCAAAGCAACAAAATATACCTTAAAATATAGATAGATATGTCATGATTTTTTAATTTAAAAAATAAATGTTTAAATAATATGCTTTTATAATATATATACTGTATTTGCTAATATTTCCTATCGTATTGATTATTACTATTGTTTGTGATTAATCTTTAGTGTCAACTTAATGGGACTTACAATCACCATAAAAATACTTTGGGTATGTCTGTGAGGGGTGTAGATTAAATTACATGAAATAGAAAGATCCAGCCTAGATTTGGGTGGCACCATTCCATTGACTGTAATTATGGACTGAAAAAAAAGGGAAAGCAACTTAAACATAAGCATCCATTACTCTCTGCTTCCTAACCTGGGTGACAATATGACCAGATACCTCCTATTCCTGCCATCATACCTTCCAAGCCGTGGTGTACCATGAACCAACTATAAGCCAAAATAAACCTTTCCCTCCAAAATGTGCTTTGGTGGGTATTTTGTCACAGCAATGAAACAAATAACTGATGCATTATAATTATCATTATTATTATTATTATTATCAACATTGTTATTATTCACTCAGTATTAATTAAGACCATACAGTTAGAAAGCACAGCTTCTATCTTCTGGTAAGAAAGGAATCAATCACATCAAACCAACCTGTCAGAACAGGTCCAAGAATGTAATCAAGTGAGAATTCTGAGTGCCTGTGAGAACATCCAAGAAAGCAAGACAAAAGTCTTGTGACCTCAGTTTCTTCAAAACTCAGAATTGCTCTTGGAATGTGTTTTCTTGCTCCTCCCAGGTGTAGCAGATAGGAGTGAGTTCACTTCAAACTACTCATCATTGCTTGCTATTGCTATTCAATTAAATGTTTAAATTACCTTTTATATACCTCTATAGAAAACTTTGTTTGTCAGGCTGGGCGGTGGTGGCGCACGCCTTTAACCCCAGCACTTGGGAGGCAGAGGCAGACGGATCTCTGTGAGTTTGAGGCCAGCCTGGTCTACAGAGTGAGTTCACACTGAACTATGTATCATTGTCTTACTTATGAGGTTTTTCAGTTTTAACTCATGTATCTTTTTCATACATACTATGCCTAAAATTTTTGTTGCTGATTCCTCAGGGTCAGGGGCATTGTGCCCTATGTCTATAAGGTAAGGAATTGGGCAGCAGAAGTAGAAGAATGAAGTTTGGGGACAGCATGAGCTACTCCTTTAGTTACTGTTCAGTTGTAGCTAAGAGACACCAAAAGCAAGGCAACTTAGAGAAGAAAGGCCTTTTTTTCCATTTTTTTGAGATAGGATTTCTCTATGTATCCCTGGCTGTCCTAGAACTTGCTCTGTAGACCAGGATGGCCTTGAACTCACAGAGATCCACCTGCCTCTGATTCCCAAGTGCTGGGATCAAAGGTGAGCACCACTGTGCCCAACTCAGGAGAAAGAGTTTAACTGGGAGCTTGCCTACAGTTTCATTAGGTGGGGAATACAGCAGCAAGCATGCATGGCACTGGAGCAGTAGCTGACAACTTACAACTGATCAGCAAGACGGAGAGCAAGAGACATCAAGACAGAGACAGACCTCTTCCTAAGGTCACAACCCCTAAACCAAACAATCAAATGTACTCACTTATGGGGCCCTTCTCATTTCAACCCCAAGAGCTCCATAGTAAGTTTCAGACCATCTTCAGGCACAAAGTGACTAAAATCCTGACTCTAAATACAAAGCAAGAGGCTGAAGACATAGCTCAGTAGTTGGGAGCCTTTGCTGCTCTTCCTGAGGATCCAGGTCCCATGCCAGCAACCAAGTGGTAGCCTACAATCAGCTATAACTCCAGTGCTATGGGGAACTGATGCCCTTTTCTGGCCCACTGCACATACATGGTGCACAGACTTAGCTGCAGACAAAACACCCACACACAAAAAAATAAACCAATCTAAAACCAAAAGAAATCCTTCCTCAGCTCAAGAGCAGTTAGGAATCCTCCCGTGTCCTTCAAAGAGAGCACTGTTGCTTTACTATTCACAATCATATACGTCACCTAAGAATGAGGATGCAGGAATATTTTCAGACCTGGCATAGTGACTCATACTTGCAATCCTAGCAATTAAGAGGAGAACCCTACGATCAGGGCCAGCCAGAGCTATATGGCAATTTCCACACTAACCTTGGTTACAGAGTAAGACTGATTAAAAATAAAAAGCAAAGAAGAAACCTCCAGAATAAAAAAAAAAAAAAAATGATGGAAAAAAAATCAGTAAATTTGGGCTTTCTTTTACCTCTAAATATTTCAACATAAGTGTTCTACCTGTGCATGAGAACAGAAGTAATATAACACTTTAGGCTTGTTGTTCACACAGCTTAACTCAGGAAGGTTTTACTCACTTGTGGTCATGATGCTAGGAGGGCAAGAGGGTATCCCATGATCCACTGCCCATCTGTAGGCTCCTTCTCCAACTAAAAAGCTAACAACAAAAAAGTTATTCTTTTAAAAATACATAGTGTCATCTTCTACAGTCAATAAGTTATAGAAATTATCACGTGACAATTAAAGTCAAGTCTGAGAGATACAAGTAATTATAGAGTTGGCGCAAAATAAGACAACTGCATGCTCAAAGTTTCTTTTAAATTTTTCTTCATTAGAAGTAACTGATGTAGAAATTGGGAAAAAAATTAATACAATAAAAAGTGAAAGTAACTTCCTATGGAAAATAAGATTTTTCTTTGATCCACATGGCCATAACATTTATTTTATGCAATCTGTTCAATCAGGTTAAGGGTCTAAACATATGTCTTCAGACTTGTTATTTTGTCTAGAACTAGATATACACAAATCCACTGGCATGCTGACACCCTAAGTTCAATGTAGCAAAAAGGCACATAGAATGCTCACAGTCATTTCCACTCTAGTGAGGAAATACTAAAATACATCCCAAAAGGGGTTTTTTTCAGTCCTATTCTACAGTTTTTAATATAAAAAAAGAACAGGTTTTTCTTTCTGGTTTATGAAACACTAATTTCCAAAGCATGCCAACACAAGTAACAATCCTATTCTCTTAAGTAATTTCATGAGGCAAACAGTGATTGTAAGCAGCAAATTGCAACAATCACTTCATCTTCTTCCATAGCCAACTACTTAAAGATCCCAGCCAGCTAGTAATGGACCCCTTGAACATGTGCCTGGCTGTTAGCCTCCTACTCTCTATTTTTCCGTTCTAATCATTCCCACATTAAAGTTCAAGAGCAGGGGCAGAAAAATCAGTGAAGAAGAGTCTCTGCTTTTGCAGAGGCCCACACTCATTTCCCAGAACCTCCGCTCAGAGGCTATCCTTCGCCTGTAAGTCCAGTTCTGAAAGAACTGACTCTATCTACTGACCTTTGAAGAGACCTGGATTCATGTGCACATACTTCCACAAAAACAGACATACGTAATACAATTTTCAAAACTATACTAAAACAAACATCAAGAGGAATAACTATTTCCATGGAATGATAACTACCACAAAGCAATATTTGAGCTGGGCAATGATGAAGCCATCTCAGGAGAGAAAGCAGAGTCAAGCACAAAAAGGTCATATGTTTAGAATTCATTTGGCATCCACAAAAAAATGATTCAAATATTTTGCTTTGAATACTTTTAAATGCCTGAGATACTTAAAAATCTGCAGAAATTAAATGATAAAAATCTCAGTAGGCAGGGCTGGTGAGATGGCTCAGTGGTTAAGAGCACCGACTGCTCCTCCAGAGGACCGGGATTCAATTCCCAGCACCCACATGGCAGCTCGCAGCTGTCTGTAGCTCCAATTCAAGAGAATCTGACATCATTATACCAATATGCATTAAATAAAGTTTTAAAAAAAAATCTCAGTAGGCACCCTGAAAGATAACAAATGGTGACAAAGGAAAGTTAAGAGATTAATTCCAGTAACTGTCTTCTTTGCATTAAGACTACAATGGAGCCGGGCGGTGGCGACACACGCCTTTAATCTCAGCACTTGGGAGGCAGAGACAGGTGAATCTCTGTGAGTTCGATGCCAGTCTGGTGTACAAGTGCTAGTTCTGGAACAGGCTGCAAAGCTACAGAGAAACCCTGTCTCGGAAAAAAAAAAAAAAAAAAACACTGAAAAAGAAAGAGGAGACAGCCAACAGGAATTTTCAAATTCTTGCAACAATGGTCACTGCAAATAAAAGCTGTCACCTGAAATTCGGAGAAACTAAAGCAAAGCTAAAATGTGAGATTTGAGCCATCACTATGCTACCTTTAGTACTTCCTCCTCCGGGGGAGGGGGCTTGATTTAAAGCTTTCTAGTAATATAAAAATGTAAACCAGATGGTGAAATATTAAGCAATCATGGCAGAAATTAGGGCTGAACCTAGTATGTTTGCAACACTCCAGATAGTCATCTAGGATTCAATCTCAGTGTCTAGAATCTTTGCTATTTGATGTACAGTTCTTAATTTTTCATTCTTTCACCATTCATAATTCTGACATAAATAAAACCAATGTAGAGCATGAGTGTGCGGCTCAGGAAAGTGCTTGCCTGTTATGCTGTCATCTGAGGGGAGGGAACCACCATTGAGAAAAATGCCTCCTTCAGATCAGGCTACAGGCAAACCTGAAGGGCATTTTCTTAATTAGTAATTGATGGGGAAGGGCCCAGCCCATCATGGGTGGTGCATCCCTGGGCTAGCAGTTGTGGGTTTTTTTTTTCCTTTTTTATTTATTTATTTATTTATTTATTTAAGATTTCTGTCTCTT